TGATGAGTGAGCCAATTAATAGGTTTTCCCGCCCAACTTCGTAAACTTTGCATCCGAATTAACGTTACGCTCGTTCAAATTCGTGCGAAATTGAATGACTATGTAGATCGACATTCAAAAAGCTAATTGCGTCATTAAATTTGATTTTAGTAGCATGCGACTTCATACTCTTGTCACGGAAACGTGCAAAACGAGCATTCAATTTAGAAAAGCGTGCAACGAGCATTCAAATTCGCGCCGGACAGACGGTGGTATGTATTCAAGCATTCGATTTCGTGATTAGGCATCCATATGTGACAGTTGTGCATTGCTTTTTTATTTGATGTTAATTTGTCACTTAATATACTTCAATCTGTTTGAATAATTTAATGCTAAGTTTACTTGTAGGAATAACATGCGTATTTGTTAGCAGATATCTGTCATTACACAGGTAACTGTCGATCATGCAGAGAAGGTGCACAATTTGTGACTTCTCTTCTCAGCACAAGCTATATATACACAGATCGTGAACAGCGGTAGAGTTGAACTTTAGACATGGACATGATGAAAAGAATGAAAGATCACCTACTCAATCAAGATTAATAAACACAAACCATTTAAAAAATAACCTCACTTATAATGAAAAATATGAAGACATGTATAAAGAAATGTTTCTACAAAAATAAAGATCGAAAGAAAGAGAAAACATTAAATGCAATATAAATATATCAGACAAATAAGAAGATTGTATAATGTGAAATCATGTCAGAAAAGATCATAGAAAAAACAAAAATAAATGAACATGAAAAAGTGAATATACGAATAAACATCGAGCCTCATACAATGATTATGAGGTCTAGTTTTAAATTTTTAATTTGAATGACCCGATTGCGAAAGAGGTTGCCCATAGACGAAAATGAAACCGCAATTCGCCAAAGAATTCTCCTTTCATTCAACATTGGCGAATACGCATTTCCAAATTGATTGAACCAAGCTTTAATTTGAATGTGCATGTTTAATAAATTCAGTGACTCGAAACGAAATTGAATGCAAAAAGTTTAAAAATGAAACAGGGAGCAACGAGTGGAGAAAATTCGCTCGAACATGAATGCACGTTAGTGAAATTGATCGCTGCTTCGACGAAATTGGCCGGGAAAACCTAATTATGTTCATTATTTTGGTCCGTTTAATGATACTCAATATTTCGTTCCTAGATACAAACGATGACATTCGTCACACGATGAGAATGATGGTGATATACATCATGATCACTTTCAAAGAAAGATAAAGTAATTTTTCTAAGTGCTTAACATAATATCTTGGCAATTCCATAGTTCACTGTGAAAGTCCGCTTAATGACGATTTAATGATCGTGCAAATCGTACTTCTTAGGACAACAAGTATGTTTATCATAACAAGGAGATGGCGATCTTGTAACATGTTAAAGAACACGTTCATTGGTTGAAACGATGGAAATTCAGAATATTTTTGAAGTTAACACAAGATATGCCAAATCTCTGAGTGAATTTTTTTCTGAACATCATTCAAATGTTCGCAATATTCCCGAATTTTGTTGTTGTTGTATTTTTTAAATTTGCATGTCCAATGTGATAGGAGGCGAATGATTTTGACCGAAATGTAAACAATAATTTAAGTGAAACTTGATTTCCAACCAATAAAGATTTTGAATTTAGAACTGGAGTTCTATTTTGGAATTGTGCTTAAACGCAAATTTAATACAAAGGCCCCAGATCCGACAATGGTTGTATCAGGTGGGTAGGAAGATGATAGAAAAGGAGTGGAAACTCTTGTAATTTATTCAAACGCATGGGTGAGTTCTAAATGGTAACAATGGGATGCGTAACATTCAACTTGGTTTTGAAGTTCTATGCTGCGAGCCGCACTTCCATTGCGGGGAATTTCGGAGTCTAGGCACCAGTTTCACATTTATTAAATTCCCGGCAAAATTTTATTATAGGGATTGTTTCCTAGAAATTATGTATCCATTCTCGGTGGCCGATTTAGAGGATGCACACAATAAAGCTGGTATTGTTCATAGTTTATGTATTTTGCTTCGTTTAGCAACCCAATCCATTTGATATTAGATAATATAATTTGATTCTATAATTCTTGCACATTAAAAAACAAAAACAAGAATCCCCTTCAGTTTCATAAAAAAACATTGTTATAGGCATACATGACATGTACAAAATGCAAGCTTTGATTCATTGAATACAACTTTTTATCGCGTCTTGTCAGTCCAAGCAACTCATTTCTTCATTAATTTATTTTATACAATTTATTCAGAGTATAGTCTGATCAGCTATATAATTCCGGGGTATAACCAGGAAAATATACTTAATTTACATGTGTTTTCGTTATGTATACATGTACTTCAATTGATGACAAATATTTCATAAGGTATACTGTAAACCATTTATTCCCATGAAATTTGTTTCATTACGATAATCCCAGACTAGTGTGAAACTGGACACTTATCCAAAGTGTTCCCCATATTCATATAAACAGACGAAAGTTACGTCATGCGGACAGCACTTTCCTCGCAAACGCTATTATCCAATTGCGAACTAATCCACTTTGCCATATCGGATTGGAACTGTATTTTCAGGAAAATGTAGTGTCTTCCTTTTACCATTATTGGGTTAACAAATAGGTATAAGTGCCTTCGTCGATATACTCAAATTATGACGAAGATACCGACCTACAATCAGATATCATAATTGTTGATTTGATTATGAAATAAATGATTTAAGTTCATCAAAATAATGTGGTAGTCCAATCACAGAGTATAGATGCAAGAGTAGACCCACTTTTCCTGTCACTCTGGCATGTTTACTGGTGCAGAAAATTTGTTATTTAAATTCAAGGACTTTTAGTTCACATGATTATTGTAGTTCTAATTTGAAAAAAAGCAAAGATGTAAAATGGAACGAACCAGAAGTGAGAAATGAAACGGGGGGGGGGGGGGTAAGGGGATAAAGAGTCAGAGAGGGGTAGATGGAGGGAAGGGAAGCGACGGAGAAATATGGGGATAATGGACATATATAATGAGGTGGGGAGAAAAGGAAAGAGACAGAGAGATGGGGTGAAATCTTACTCATATCTCGATTAATCTCGATTATGTGATATTTTTCAACGTAAAATAATCAGAAAACATTTAACTTGTAGCAATTTTCAGCTTATTTATTTCAACGTTTAATATTGCTCTTGGTGTTTGCTATGTTAGGTTCTCTCCCATTCTTATAGAATGAAGACATCAAACAATTTTTTTACTGGAAATTAGTCACGTTAAATTATACGTTAAGTTTATAAGGCAATGACATCAAATGATATTTCATACTTGTATTTTGCTCAATAAACGATTTGCGTAAAAATATTTAGAAAATGTCATTGATATATGTAAGGTCTTAAAATTGTTACCCTTTCTCTCTCTCTCTCTCTCTCTCTCTCTCTTATTTCCTTTCCAATTTCCTGTTTTAACTTCTCTTTAGCTTTCCATCCTATTCCCCCTAAATATCGTGTTTTCCTTTTTCCAATGCAGGTGTCACAGAATAAAAAAATTAAAGCTTGCATCCCACCATTCATCAAATCCATGATCATTTAATAAAGGGACAAATTTTAAAATGTCTTTTTCATATCTGTGGCTGTCTATAGCCGGTCCACAGTAATCATTAAGGGCATTTAAAAAAAATCCTCACACAGAATATTGTCTGGTTTATAGGCATTGTGTAAATGTTAAGCGATCTATGCTAAAGACGAAATGCCATACAGCGTTTCATTGCATAAATAATCAGGATATTTTTTAACTTGGACTGAATGCCCATTATGCGGCGTGTTGAAGCGAAGAGTACGTCGCATTATCTCTTAATTCAAAATAAATTGAGTTATTATCACCCAACACTGAAAGCAGAGGAGGGTACAAAGCATACTCCCATAGGATGAATATACTACCGGGAACTACACTCTTGATTTATGTCAATTCAACCGGGATGTAATAACGCAGCCATTGATGATAACTCGATAAAATATGTATGACATTCCAGTGGATTGTATGGCTTCAATCATTTTTAGCATCTCATTTATATTGCGACATTTTCATTATTCATCTGAGCAAATCATCTACTATTCACTTTCTGATTAGGCAAGACGGTTTTTGTAAAGCGATGGCAGGACAAATCAATTTATCTAATTTGGAGTCATAAAATAGCACAGGGTTATGACAAAGGTCAAAGTAGTGACACAGAATGCTGTATAGTATATGTCTCGCCGCATTTATTATATAGTAAATCGCACAAAGCTCTTGGAAATTTAGTAAAAAAAACCTTTAAAAATCTATATATAATATCGTTTCTCAGTTTAGGTCCATTATGCTGCTTATCAGAAACGATCATTCCAAATTTGGCTAAAAAGTCCAAAATAATGTAAGTGAAAGTGCGTTTGAGACCCAAATCAAACGTTGAAATTCGTATGTTGTACCATATTTATGATGGATATGCACATTTGAGGAAAACTATAGATTTTTAGTTATATTTCCACCTACATTTTACTGAAAGGATAAAGACAATGTTTGGACAGTCGCATTCGGGATTAAAAACATAGCTGAAACGAAATTATCTTTGGCACACTAAAATAAATATTTATTATTTTTCAGTTAAAGCATGGATGCTGACTCAGAAATTGCCTATTACCTATCGCTTGAAGAGAATATTATTGCGAATTATTTCAAAGGTGAAAATTAATTTGAGCTTACCTATTGACGGTTTACATACCATTGTGTATATTCAAAACATAGTTTAGTACTATTATCCGGATTTCCATGGTTATGGTTAAAATATAATATGCCTAATGTTTGATCTGCAGTAGGTCCTACTAAATATTTGGAAACTTCTATGGCAGAGATATTACTGTTAATTGTCTACGTAACACTATAATGAAATTATATTAAAGATCTTGAATTAAACTTGTATTTTCATTTTTCATTTATCTTTCAGATCTTGAGCAACATCTCAACATGGGTCGTAAAAGGAAGTGGGCTGCCTCTTATTCGACTTTCACAAGTCACTTGTGATCATAGAATCGGAATAATGTGATAAAATGAGCCTGCCTTAAGAGTGGACATGAAACATTGTTACTAGCCATGAGGCAAAGAAAAATGGAGGCCTATCAAGGAATAAGCTTTGTCGTGCTTCTTACCATCATCATTACACTTCAGACTCATTCAGGAGAGTCCAAAGAGAGAATACTTAAGGATGCAGATGACAAAAGAGATGAACGGGGAGACTTGTATGGCAACATTATTTCATATCTGATAAAAAGGTTTGACGATTGGAGAAATATTAAAGATGAACGAACGAGGAATGATGGAAGAACTCAAATTGAAAGTGCGATTTTGATTAGAAAAAAGAGATCCGGAGGAACACCCGAACCAACAGCAGAAGGAGAAAGTGAACCAGAACCCACTGCAGAAGGAGAAAGTCAACCTGAACCGACGGCAGAAGGAGAAAGTGAACCTGAACCGACAGCAGAAGGAGAAAGTGAACCTGAACCGACTGCAGAAGGAGAAAGTGAACCTGAACCGACTGCAGAAGGAGAAAGTGAACCTGAACCGACAGCAGAAGGAGAAAGTGAACCTGAACCGACAGCAGAAGGAGAAAGTGAACCTGAACCGACTGCAGAAGGAGAAAGTGAACCTGACCCGACAGCAGAAGGAGAAAGTGAACCCGAACCGACAGCAGAAGGAGAAAGTGAACCTGAACCGACTGCAGAAGGAGAAAGTGAACCAGAACCCACTGCAGAAGGAGAAAGTGAACCTGAACCGACATCAGAAGGAGAAAGTGAACCCGAACCGACAGCAGAAGGAGAAAGTGAACCTGAACCGACAGCAGAAGGAGAAAGTGAACCCGAACCGACAGCAGAAGGAGAAAGTGAACCTGAACCGACATCAGAAGGAGAAAGTGAACCGGAACCGACAGCAGAAGGAGAAAGTGAACCTGAACCGACAGCAGAAGGAGAAAGTGAACCCGAACCGACAGCAGAAGGAGAAAGTGAACCTGAACCGACAGCAGAAGGAGAAAGTGAACCCGAACCGACAGCAGAAGGAGAAAGTGAACCCGAACCGACAGCAGAAGGAGAAAGTGAACCTGAACCGACAGCAGAAGGAGAAAGTGAACCTGAACCGACAGCAGAAGGAGAGAGTGAACCTGAACCGACAGCAGAAGGAGAAAGTGAACCTGAACCGACAGCAGAAGGAGAAAGTGAACCTGAACCGACAGCAGAAGGAGAAAGTGAACCTGAACCGACAGCAGAAGGAGAAAGTGAACCTGAGTCAACGGCAGAAGGAGAAAGTGAACCTGAACCGACAGCAGAAGGAGAAAGTGAACCCGAACCGACAGCAGAAGGAGAAAGTGAACCTGAACCGACAGCAGAAGGAGAAAGTGAACCTGAACCGACAGCAGAAGGAAAAGTGAACCTGAACCGACAGCAGAAGGAAAAAGTGAACCCGAACCGACAGCAGAAGGAGAAAGTGAACCTGAACCGACAGCAGAAGGAGAAAGTGAACCCGAACCGACAGCAGAAGGAGAAAGTGAACCTGAACCGACAGCAGAAGGAGAAAGTGAACCAGAACCGACAGCAGAAGGAGAAAGTGAACCTGAACCGACAGCAGAAGGAGAAAGTGAACCCGAACCGACAGCAGAAGGAGAAAGTGAACCTGAACCGACAGCAGAAGGAGAAAGTGAACCTGAACCGACAGCAGAAGGAGAAAGTGAACCCGAACCGACAGCAGAAGGAGAAAGTGAACCTGAACCGACAGCAGAAGGAGAAAGTGAACCTGAACCGACAGCAGAAGGAGAAAGTGAACCCGAACCGACAGCAGAAGGAGAAAGTGAACCTGAACCGACAGCAGAAGGAGAAAGTGAACCCGAACCGACAGCAGAAGGAGAAAGTGAACCAGAACCGACAGCAGAAGGAGAAAGTGAACCTGAACAGACAGCAGAAGGAGAAAGTGAACCTGAACCAACAGCAGAAGGAGAAAGTGAACCGGAACCCACTGCAGAAGGAGAAAGTGAACCTGAACCCACTGCAGAAGGAGAAAGTGAACCTGAACCGACAGCAGAAGGAGAAAGTGAACCTGAACCGACAGCAGAAGGAGAAAGTGAACCTGAACCGACTGCAGAAGGAGAAAGTGAACCTGAACCGACAGCAGAAGGAGAAAGTGAACCTGAGCCAACAGCAGAAGGAGAAAGTGAACCTGAACCGACAGCAGAAGGAGAAAGTGAACCTGAACCGACTGCAGAAGGAGAAAGTGAACCTGAACCGACAGCAGAAGGAGAAAGTGAACCTGAGCCAACAGCAGAAGGAGAAAGTGAACCTGAACCCACTGCAGAAGGGGATAGTGAACCGGAACCCGACCAAGAGGGTGAACCAGAACCGTTTTCAAACTCTACCGCTGAACCAGAACCTGAAGGCGAACCGTGGCCTGAACCTGGGCCAGATTGGGATAAAGCCTTCGTCATGCTTGGTCCGGCTTGGGGTCTTCACATATATGGTTTTGCCATTGGATTTAGTTTTGTTGCGATCTACGCCAGTCATGTTGTAACGAGTTTATTTGGAGACAGACATCGTGCGGGCTCCAGGTCTCTCACGGCAACATTAAACACACTGCTCTTAATTTTTGGAGTTACTCGGTTTATCTCACTCTTCGTAAATCCATATGGAGCGCGAGAAAACACCCCGATTCTCGTGTCTCGTATGATGTGGTCCATCGGTTTCCCATGTCTCACAGCCGTTCTTTCTACACTCCTTCTAGTTCTTATCGATACAACAAAGGTTTCTCTGGCGCCTCCTCGCTTTCAAAAATTCTCTGCCGTCGCACAAGTTTGTGGTGTACACTTCTTGATAGTTCTGGGAACAGACATTCTCGTTTCTTTCTTCGTTGACCTGAAAGGGCTGCTTCTAATGTGTCAAATCATCTACATAACCTGGAGTTTAATTCTAGCTGTTGGCTATTTTAGGGTCAGTCAACTCATCAAAGCGAATTTCAAGTCAAGTTTGAGCCAGAAGAAAAACATGCAAGGCAAGTAAACAATTATAAAGCTATTGGTGATGGTGCTGGAGATGGTGTGTGTGCGTGTGTGTGTGTGTGTGATTTTTTTTTTTGCATTGAAATGGTGTGTATATTTTAGCTCAAGAGAGGTGTAAGGTTGTAGGTATATTTGCGTTCAGTAAATCTAAAAATCTCATACAGATAATTGTTTTATACTCGAGGTCCACCAGTACGATATGATACATTCTGTATACCCCATCGCTTAAATACCGATTATGAAAACATAGTCATCAAAAATTGTCGAATGACTAATACCGCCGGGATTCGACTGTATCTTGAAATCTAGGTTAACGTGCCAACGGGGCGATTTCATTCTATGAATGGAGTTGCTAAGTTACATATATTGGTAGATAATTGAATGTGTAAAACTGCAGCTCGCACTTCATCGCTGTTTGAAATGATAGCACACCCAATCGATGAGCTAATTCCAACGGCTTTGTTCAAATAATCATCTTACATGATTGATGCTAGCCATTCCGTATTTCATCTACGATGAACATGGTTCTATTTGTCCTGAATAAGTGCGATACTGTTACGGCAATGGTATATAATGATCTCGATTGACTGTCCAGGTAACAGTAAATATTTTCGCGAAGTTTGCTTGCGCCCTGCACACAGTTTGCAGTACATGGGTAAAGTTGAATTCGAATGTTCTGGTTATTTTTGGAACTACCGAATCTGTCGAGGACGCCATTTACAGTAATCATTATGCTTGTAAATGAACTAAGTGACAAAATGGATAAATTGACCTGTATTGCTGGATCGCATGATGTCTGCGCATGCGCAGCGCCCTTGCCTGCTCATAGGCGTAACTGAGCGATTATGATAAAAACGAAACATACATCGAACACAAAACTCCGTTCCTATTACAGCGATATGTTCGGTACACTTACTGTCTAGAATACAAGGAATAATGTGAAATCAAACATGAAAGACAAATGATAGCAAGTTCTTGTCAAAATCCTCTTTGAATGATGCGGTGAAAAAAATCACTCCTATGAAATCGAAGGTAGGCATGCTTAAGGACTTTTTTACGCGATCGATTTAACATGAGGGCACAAATATCGCTAATTGGCATTTCCTCCAAACCGACAGCAAATTTGTTTAGTTTTTGTACAAATATAGCTGGGAGTGATTCAATCTCATTAGTGGCGTTCACACCTACAGAAAAAAGGGGGATTTAAAACTTGATTTTTGCATAGCGGTCCAAAAATCCTCTTTTTTGCATGTGTCGACAGAATAATTTTACTAATTCGCAATCGCGACCCAATTCGCGGTAAGTCTTGCGATTTTTTAGAATAATCGCGATAGTTTGCCAGGCGCTGTGTATGTGAATGGTGTTGAAAATCAAAGATCGATTTATTTAATCCCAGGATTCCAAGCGCGCATACATCGTCAAAATTTGCGAATGCGCAGTTCGATGTTCTTGCCGTCGAGCGAGAATTCTCTCTGTGTGTGAATGGTCGTCAAAAATAGAATGTTTGCATCGCAATCCAGTTCGTACTAAATTGACTCGTGTGAACGGTCGCGTATTTTTGTTTCGATCTTTGCCTAATCGCACTAGTTGGTATGTGAGAACGGGCCTACTAAAGTAAATTAAGGCCGAACCAATATTGCACATACCGCGATGTTATATTTACATTCCCAGTTGAAGATGTATTTGTTTGTAGAATCATCGTCATGCATAATGCAGTCTTGATAATTCTGTGCCAATCAAGGAAGTAAAAAAGAAATAAGAAAATGAAAATATCAAGAAGCGATTTCTTTATGAAATGCCAATTTCAATTATTCTAAATTCAAGCGTTTACTCTGATCTTAAAGGCCCACTACACTACTTGTAGCTACTTGCGCCCTCTATATAACAAACCATGCCTAATCGGTGACCATTGGTCCCCCATGATCCTCTTTTTCTTATGTTAACTGAGAGCTGAGTTGATGAGATAACCACCTGTCCAGTGACCTTGCAGGGCAGTTTAATCCCTCCTGTAAACTATGGCAGATACGCTTTAATGTTGAAACGAAATGTAACAAGACGGCTAATTTTACATACATATATTTTTATAAACGAATTCTGTTATCAACTATACACAAGCATGAAATGATAACATTTTGAACAAAGAAGCTCTGTGATTTTATTACAGGAAAAGCTATTTTTAATAATCATTTAAGAATGAATTCAATCATGTTATCGTTCTGCACAGGAAGCCAAGATAAGAAGGCCATGCGTCTTCATCGGAACATCATGGTGTGCAGTGGAATTGCCGTGGCCAGCTGCGTCACCCACATATACGGTGCTTTTGGTGTGTTTGGTATCTACTCTGACTTGGTGGTGGTTCCAGCGTGGCCCTGGTGGGTATTCCAGACCCTCATGAGGCTTGAAGAGATTCTCATGGCTGTTCTCGTCTTTAAACTCGCTGGCAAAGCTAAGAAGGTAACCCAAGATCGAGACGCAAAACAAACAGGTATCTCCAGGATGTTTCATTCAGCCATTGAGCGTATCAACCCAAGTGGTAGGTACGCAAGAAGGAAACAAGTGACACCACTGACGTCAGCAACCGACTGTAGGGGAACCCCCTCACCAGATGGGGCCAAGAAGGCCTGGGCTAGAGGCAAGGAGGTTACAAGTTGCGTGGGTAGTGTGACAGTGGGAGACTTCGGTGGCCTGCCTCCCGTCAAGCCATGAGTGCAGCTGACAAAATATGTCCTAACTTTGTAACATTATCCCTAGCAATACAGATTGGCATATGTGACTTTGTTTTCGTAGATATCTTTCTTAATTTTCGAAGATTCATGTAGCCTACCTACATACAGGCGCGGATCCAGGATTTTCCAATAGGGGGGGGGGGGGGGGGGGGCCGGAAATTTGAAAATTGCGCGCAGACCGTTTTTTCAAGGTCATATTAGAAGCACCATACCGGTACAATTTTTGACATTTTAATCGGGGGGGGGGGAGCTATAGCCTCTTGCCCGAAAAAGTAATTTTCTGGTTTCACAATTCGGCTAGTGAGCGAAGCGAGCGCGTAACAATTTGATCATAATATTATGAAAGTGTTATTTATCACCAAAATAAACGAGAAAAGATATCAAAAACTCTTATTCGGGCAGCTCGCTGCCACCCCCCCCCCCCATTACGGAAGCTTTGACGTTTCATTAAATTATTAGAGAAAGAAGACTATTCGTTGTACCGTTCTAGACTCTTAATCCTTGTCTGAATTCAGTTTTGACGTTTCATTAAATTATTAGAGAAAGAAGACGATTTGTTGTAATATTCTCGACTCGTATTCCTTGTCTGAATTCAGTTTTCCCCCTCCCGCGCAAAGCGCGGAAGCTTTGACCTTTTATAGTTTAAATTGAAATTATTAGAGAAAGATGATTCGTTGTATCGTTCTAGACTCTTAATCCTTGTCTGAATTCAGTTTCACCCTCCCACGCGAAGCCCGGAAGCTTTGACGTTTCATTAAATTATTAGAGAAAGAAGACGATTCGTTGTAACATTCTCGTTTCTTAATCCTTGTTTGAATTCAGTTTCCTCCCGCCCGCGCAAATCGCGGAAGCTTTGACCTTTCATTAATTATTAGAGAAAGAAGATTTGTTGTACCATTCTCGACTCTTATAACTTGACTGAATTCAGCCACCCCCCCCCCGCCCTCCTGCCTGAAGCACGGAAGCTTTGGCCTTTCATAGTTTAATGAAATTATTAGAGAAAGAAGATGATTCGTTGTTTCATTCTCGACTCTAAATCCTTGTATGAATTCAGTTTCTCCCTCCTGCCCTTTGCGCGGAAGCTTAACGTTTCATTAAATAATTAGAGAAAATGTAGGATTCGTTGTACCGCCATCGACTCTTTATCCTTGTCTGAAATGAGTCCCCCCCCCCCTCCCGCGCAAAGCGCGGAAGCTTTGACGTTTCATTAAATTATGAGAGAAAGAAGACGATTCGTTGTACCGTTCTCGACTCTTAATCCTTGTCTGAATTCAGTTTTTCCCCTCCCCCTCCAGCGCGAAGCGCGGAAGCTTTGACGTTTCATTAAATTATAAGGGAAAGGAGACAATAATATTCTTTGTACCATTCTCGACTCCTTGTCTAAATTCAGTTTTCCCCTGCCTGCGCGTAGCGCGTAAGCTTTGACGGTTCATTAAATTATTAGAGGAAGAAGACGAATCGTTGTACCATTCTCGTCTCTTAATCCTTGTTTGAATTCAGTTTCCTCCCTCCCGCGCGGAGCGCGGAAACTTTGACGTTTCATTAAATTATTAGAGAAAGAAGATGATTCGTTGTTCCATTCTCGACTCTTAATCCTTATCTCAATTAAGTTCCCGCCCCCCCCCCCCTCCCGCGCGAAGCGCGGAAGCTTTGACGTTCCATTAAATTATAAGGGAAAGGAAACGATTCTTTGTACCATTCTCGACTCTTTGTCTAAATTCAGCTTTCCCCTGCCCGCGCGTAGCGCGTAAGCTTTGACGGTTCATTAAATTTTTAGAGGAAGAAGACGAATCGTTGTACTATTCTCGTCTCTTAATCCTTGTTTAAATTCAGTTTTCCCCCTCCCGCGCGAAGCGCGGAAACTTTGACGTTTCATTTAGTTATTAGAGAAAGAAGATGATTCGTTGTTCCATTCTCGACTCTAAATCCTTGTCTGAATTCAGTTTTTCATGGCCCGCGCGTAGCGCGTGAACTTCTGACGTTTCATTAAACTATTAGACAAAGAAGACGATTCGTTTTACTATTCTCGACGCCCAATCCTTGTCTGAATTCAGTTGCACCCCTCCCGAGCGATGTGCGGAAGCTTTGACATTTCATTAAATTATGAGAGAAAGAAGACGATTCGTTGTACCGTTCTCGACTTGTCAGAATTTTCAAAAATGTTTCTTTGTCTGCTCCTTTTTCGTCCTATGTCATCTTACTGCCCCTACCGCCCCTGGCTACGCGTCTGCTTTAAAGGGAAAATGAAACAATCATGATTGTGATGGCACTCAATTAGGTTAGTAGAAATGAAATGGAAACAAGATCTATTACACCAATCATGGATAAATAACGGCCGGGGCGTAGCGAATAAGCGAGATTTTGCAATGTTGAATGCTGAAATTATGCATTCTAGAAAATCCCTAAGCCCAATATGTACGTTCTTTCCGCTATATTTCTTTCTAGCTATGTTTCTAAATTTCCTGGGGGACGTGTCCCTCTATTGGGCCCAGGATTTCCGCCCCTGTCCATGATTACTACCAACATGAGTTTAAATACAAGCACAAGCGAGTTGGTATGAGCTGTATCCAAATGAAGGGAAAAATAAGAGTTGTGAAGCTGCCCTACCGTTAATTTAAAATTTGACTGTTGAGTATATAACTTCTATTTAAAAGACACCCAAAATATTGTGCCCTTTTCAAATTTCTCACTAAAGAGTGATGACCTTTGTAGCGCAGGGGCTGTTCTTAACGTTTAACTTTGAATCCGCGGCTCGAGATTTTATGCGGCCGGCCCGGCCCCCCTCAACTCAATAATTTCGTTATCTTTTTTTTTTCTTTTCTTTTCTCTTCTTTTTTCCTTTCTCTTCTCCTTTCTTTTCTCTTCTCCTTTTTTTCTCCTCTTCTCCTTTTTTTTCTTCTCTTCTTTTCTTCCTTTTTTTTTCTTCCTTTTTTTTGCGCCGCCAATAGGGGGGCCGCGGCCGTTTCGGCCCCCCCCTGGATCCGCCACTGTTACATACAAAATATATAAAAACTTGTTTATATGTATTCTGAAGAAAGTATTTTGAACCTTCGCTCTTATGTTCAACTTCTTTGAAAAAAAGAAGAAATATTATGATTCCTTGATTGTTGAGCCTATTCATTGACAATGAACTGACGAATGTTGAGAAGTCGAAGTATATTGCTTTGAAAGATTAACTGGAGATGCGAAGGTCGCGGGTTCAAGCCTTGGCAAGCTTATATATGTGAGTACTTACATTCGTTGATTTCGACTCAGGTGAAATAAATGGATACCTGGAGGAAAAGTTACTTGAAATTAAAATCCATGAAATCGGTAGTCTAGCTAGCTGTATCTTGGATAATAACGGAGTGCTACGAATAGAGGTTGTTTTATTGTTATAGAAATATTCAGCAAACTACATGATTTAAATTGTTCGCACACGCATGAGATAAGAAATGATTTTAGCTAAGCCCGATTGCATAGAGTACATCAATCCTTGATACACAAACCAAATTTACAGAATCGTAATTTATTTCCTGCCCTTTTTTGTTGGGATACGAGGGGGAGGTGGCTAAGATTAGAAGCACCTGTATTAAAAAAATGTTGTTGGAAATAAATTTTCATGCCAAGAGTTACTATAAAGTTTGGTCACCTTCTCCAGTTGGATGTTTATTTAATCAAGAATTGGCGTTTGAACCCTAATAGAATAAATTTATATTTTTGCATATGCAAATATTGTGCCGTAGATTTTAAGATTGAAAAGAAACATTTCTCGTGTATTAACATCTGTCCGTTTTCTCACCTCTGATATCGTCAAACATTTAGCAACATCTC